GGTGTTTATAACAAAAAGAACAGGCATGATCTCCGTGCACATTTTGCCGCTCTCGGCTTTCCATTATCTCAAAAAACATCAAAGATAACCCAAAAAAACATTTGGGGCCAACAACGGGGCCGTAGGCACACACATCACGCACTCATGCTGCGCGTCAGAAAGTCATCAAAGATACCAAAAAACCTTAAGTACCAACAGCATTTCATCCCCCGCACCGCCCTTAATAAAAATGCATTTTACGGCTGCACATGACCCAAACAAGCATCGAATGATGTTGGCTAACATAATTCGAGAATGACAATGAACAAATTTTTGTAAGAAATGTACATACATAAAAAGCTATGGCCAACGTGGATCAGGACTTGGAGGTCGCACATAGATTTCCAGGCGTTCCATCTACATCAGAGATATAGTTAGAAATGATGTGGACATTCACATATGATAATAGGCGAACACTTACCTCGCTTATTATATAGCCCTTCCAAACGGTTTCGCCGATCATAAGCTTGATCTTGTCGAGCAGCCGGAGAACAAATGACACGTTTTCGAGCTTATGGGCGCGCCAATCCTCGCGATAAGGAGCAAGGTTGCCTTTCTTTTGGTCGAGCAGCTCCAAGAGGAAGCTATGTACTGTCATGTTCTTAAATTTGATAAACTTCCATATGTCGACCGTTTTCTTTTCGGGGGATGAGAACTTGATAGTCGGGAAAAAATCCCAGTCGGACTGTTCATTGGTGAAATGAACTAACGCCGGAAATGAGAGGCCCTCTTGCTGAACGACGACATTGATTCTTGAGAGTGAATCCCTTATGGCGCGAGTGACTTTTGGGGTGGGTTCACCCACCTCGGCAAAGAAGGGTTCCATGAATGAAGGATTTGTAAGTGGTTATGATGCGAGTTGGGTGAAGGGAACTATTGATTTGTAAGTGGTTATGATGCGAGTTGGGTGAAGGGTACTATTAGAATGCACATATATATATCTGGCCATCCAATTCTATATATATATAGAATTATACTAGCTCCGAGTCTTGGCGACGCGACATGAAACATGTCCCCCAGGCTGTGGACAAGTCTATCATTGCGCGGCACTGAGGGTAAACGTGTGAGACCAAGACACACCAGGAGCTCGTTCGGAGGCTAGGAAACACTTACCAGGCACTCGGTTTGAGACTAGGGATGAGGTGTCTTTCACCAACTAACCGAGTGGCTGGGGGACTGACGATGAGGGGTTGCATCTAGCTCTTGTTGCACAAGCTGAAACATGAGAAGGGTTGGATGCTTTCCAACCAGTGGTTTATATTGGACACCGAGCCGGTCTCTTCGCATGTTCATTAATGAGATCACAGAGCAGAACTCCTCGATCATAAACGTCTAAGATCTTTGCCAGGCCTCTCTAGTCCTACCATGTCTAACCCTTCCACAGCAACACTGAACAAGGAAGTTCCTAAAACTGTTAAAAAGGCAGTTTTGATTTGTGATTACATGACGAAGCTAGATATGTCTCCCAAAGAATTCATGGTGACGTTCTTGTCATCGACACACGAGGACATATTATTTCGCCAACGTATAAGCAAGGTCGGTAAGGGCGCCAGGGAAACTCGTTCTATATTTAAAAATCTTGGCCGATTAACTGTCGCATCCAACAAGGGGCGAGATGTATGGGAGACACTGATATTAGATGAGGTCAGATATCAATACAATTTCAACTATATGTATGTCATCCTCAAAAACACACCTGCTAATTTGCCCGTTCTTATATCAGGCTTCACAGATAGTGAACGCTCAGGAAATTACACGAGGGACCTTCCCTCAAGGGGCCTTTGTCAGCTCGAATGCCATTACACCGGACTTTTTCAGTGATATTTATGACACCCTCCGTAACGGACAAGTCAAGTCCGGCATGAAATTCCTACACACTCTCATTTACCGGAAGATTGCCCATGCCATGAAGAAAAATGACGTCGTGCAGTATGAAGAAGATATTGCGGTGCCAGTGGTTCAGCTTTCGAGCCAATCATCAGTGGAATCTTCCCTTCCAGGCAACTCTCATGTCGAAGGCGCGTTAGATGAGGAGACGGTATTGTCTATGGAGAATATGGTCTTGATTAAGTCCACTCCGGCTAGCATAGCAGATCATAAGCTTCATAAGGTTGGTGTCTTTGCTGGGGTGATATCGCATAAGGAGTATTACTCACCCTATGATGTTGAACCAGGTACCCACCATGGTCTGTGCCATGATAGCGATGACATGCAATCGTCGCAGTAATGCGATTCCGGTGGCTAACGGTCTCATGGCTTTAGCCAGCGGAGTATCTTGCCGAGTTCATGAATGGCTCCACACACTTGGTCTGACGACCTCCAGAAAAAGTGTACTGCAAGCACTCGAACATTTCCGTGTTTTACAAGAGAAGCGGATGATGGATCTGTTCAAGATCAATCATAAGCTCATGCCGGTTTTATGTTATGATAATGTCGATATCAATTTGAAAATACACAATACCCGAGTCGAGAAAAACAGTCAGCTCTTCCATGGCACCTGGGGATTTTTCAATGTGATAAACCCATCACTCTTGACCGGAATTCCCCCTGAGGACCTTGGACGTCCGGCTTTTATCGAGGCCATGGCCGCTGCCGACCGGAAGCCTGTAAACATGGCCTTGTTTACTCCTAGCCCAGCGGAAAGTAATCATTGGCGCTTAACCGTTCGAGCTCAATTGGCAAAAACACTTAGGGACTATATCGAGCAGATTCCAGGTGGACGTGACTTGAAGAAACTTCCGTTGCTCGTGGTGAGGCCTCCTCCCGTCGACCCAATAGTCTTGCAAAAGTCAGACATACACTTCCTACGCATGATGGACGCACCCGACTCATCAGCTGAGGGCGTCACACGTGTGCTAGATCAAATTATGGCACAAATCGGTATGGACGCGGATACTTATTCCAAACACCTTTTAGTCGCGGGTGGCGACGTTGGGTCCAACCAACTCGTCGAGAGCCTGAGGGTCAAGCGATTTCCACCAATTGATTCGGTTGAAGGTTATGATTGGATACTTTCGGTCTTTGGTGGCGCCCATACGACCTGGAACTTTACCAAGAGTCTCTGGGCCCATCATTGGGGTCATCCAGAACGAGGCGATGATACCGGGGTTTGGCGTTCAGCTTTTTCTTTAGGTTTAGAGTACAAAAAACCTCCGGCATCCCAAGACTTCAATACAATTATGCGATCCTGTCAGATAGTCCACAAAGCAAACATGGTATTCATTTCAAGGTCAGTAGGGTTAGGATCTAGCCGACATAGTCACTTTCAATGAATATTAACAATTTCAACTGTGCCGTTAGCGAAGTCATCAACTCCCTGGACGGAATTGATCTTTCCAAATCTGCTGACTGCAATCGGGTCCTAGATCAAGTTTGGAGTCAGTACTTTGATGCACCGGCGGTTGAGGCGGCAAGACTGAGCAAAGACCACACCAAGTTCAATTTTCGAATGCGCCTGCGTGATTTTGCTACGGTGACGGAGGCACATGATGCCACTCGTGCAGGCGACATTGGTCGTTTGATGCGGATGTGGAAGAGGTGGGCAGTGATGGCTCAAGGACTGCCTGGCCTCTCCCATTACTCCCGACATATTCCGCGACTCGTGCTGCTCTTGGAAGAGGACCTACCTAAGGGCCTTGCGCATGCAATTAAACATTCCCTTTTGGTTCCATCCAATGCGCGAGAAAACCACTGGTTGGCAATTGACGAATTTATGGAAATTCATATATGCTGGCTCAAGCATCATTACGATACCACTGTGAGCGCAACATCACCACAAATCAGTATGTACTCATACTGACCTTTCGGGTGTTCTAGGGACGAGGCACAGACATCGACAGGTTAATACTGAGGATCTCAAACAATATCCAATTGGTCAGAGAAATTTTGTGATTTCATTACAGAGGAATCGGTGGCTTATCATTGTTTACAACTACGCTAATAAATCAAACAGTTACGCAAGCTGATGCAGCTGATCAAATCCGAAGCAGGACAGAAAATTATATATCAAGCCAACCTCAACGGAATTACACGCGAATCACTCGCAGTGTTCCTTCAATACGCTGGAGAAAGTTTAGCAGGGGACAATGCAGCGCGAACCCCGCCTCAGGTCACCAAAATTTGGACTAAGGGCATGATTAACATTGTTAACTTGAATCGAGGTGATACAGGCGGGGGTCGATCATCGCGTTTTCGATGGGGGGCACAGGATGTGTTGTCGACGTGGGTAAATGAGGAGGCAGCAATGGAGGATTGATCGGCTGAATGACGTATAAAACATGGGAAAGCCCCATGAAAACGATGTATTTAGCATTGATAAGCATTTCGACCAATGATAACACAATGGCTCTTACTCACCTGCTTAGGGCCTTTGTTTTTAGAACGACTGGCCTCCGGTTGGTCGTCTGCGCCCCGCTTGCCTGTGGTCCTTTGTCCCTGATGAGCCTGTTGCGTGTCGTACATATGTTTGCGTTGTGCAAGCAGTGCTTCTTTCTTGGCCTCCTTAAGTGCATCAGCGTCGTCTTTAGCTTTTTTGCGCACGGCTTCCGCCTCAGCTGTTGCAAGAGCTTTGTCACGAGCAGCTCCCTCTTTTTCTGTGTCGCGCGCCGCTTGAGCGGCCGCTTTGCTCACCACTTTCTCAACCTCAGACCTCGCCTTGCGCAATTGAGCGCCCTCAACCGAATCGGGAATTTTGTTGAGGTTTTGGTTTCGCCTGACAGCTTCCTGACGTGCAGCAGCGTCCGCAATGGCGGCAGCCAAACCAACCTCGTTCCTCCATTGGCAGAACGCGACGAAAAGGTAGTCGAATTGGGAAGGGATCGTTTCACTCGCCAAGATTATCGCAAAATCGGCCGGATGGGTGATGATGTCAATGTTCTTGGCTACGTCCCAAGCCAGCTCTCGACCAAAATAGTCGCCCGGCCCAAGGTCAGATGGTTCTAAGAAGACCTGCTTGAATAACGCACTGAAGGTTCGTTCCAAACGTGTTACCAACACTTCCAGTATGGGTATAACGTAGATGGGATCGTCTGTGCCACATGCCAGTGCCACTGGTCGGTTTTCGGAAGGAGCAGGTGGTGGAGGATCAGGCAACTCGTCGACAAGTTTGAGTAGGTCGTCCTCGGTCATGGCCAGGGCTTCATCGAAGTTGTCTTTCGTAAGGGCTGGCTGAGCGAGCCACAGGGCTTCTGCTTCTTCGGGTAAGCAGTTAGAACAATCACAGGGCGCCATGTCCTCTGCAAGCTGACGTGCGGCTTCTTCAAGGACCACAGCCTTGTCGACTTTGAGGGGAATGTACCCATGCCTGCAACAACGACATGTGTCAATGATGGCGTCCGACCAAGCGTAGGAACAGAGAGACAATTACTCACTTGAGATCAACAGCAAGTGCTAACCGTGGGCACACCGGAGTTATAGCCAGAGCATCCATCCGGTCGTCGTCTGTCTGGACTGTTGGGGGCTTGAAATCGGCTATGAGGTTCTTGCCGTTTGCTCGCTTGTTTTCAACTAGTAGTATACCCAGCCCTCGTCGTTTATCGCGTCCACAACGCCCAGACATTTGAATAAAGTTGCAAGGGTTTTGGCGGCCCACGATGATCACGCGTCGTACCCGTTTCCAGTTTTGACCCAACCCGAGAGCGAGGGTACAGCATAATACGGCCAGGGTTCCTGCGACATACGTAGCCACCGCATCAAGCTTGGTCTTCGGCCAGTGTTGGCGTGGTACCGGCGAGCGAAGTCTGAGTGACCATTTCCAGCTTCAGATGGGTGGCCTCGTGACGTGTTGATTGTGATCAGGTATTCTAAAATGTTATTTTGGGTTCCGGCGTACAGAAGAGATGGCACGATGGATTCGGTGGGTACTACCGTGTGATGCGCAAAAATGCCGCGCACAGAAGCTTTGAGGGGTCTCTTGTCAGCCCCGAGCCCTATGACTAGTACCAAAGGGCTGCCTAAATAACTATAAAATAACAAAAATAATAATTACAACTCATGGCTCAGTTTCAAGAGCCAAGTACATATGTAATTACATATAGTTACATATGAAATTACACATGTACATACATGTAAATGTGACCAAAAGGTTGCATTATGTAAGACTGCCTTTCACAAGTGCGCATCACATGAGTAACACAAGAGTTACACATGTGTGTAATCAGATAATAAATAAATAATTAAAATTCATGATTACATACGTCAAATGAGTATGTAATCAAACCACAAGTTGTACATAAAGGATTTTCAGGGTTTTGAGTATATAAAGAGCTCTCTGACCCGCCAGGAAAATCCATCATCATCATTACTTTAAAACAAATTATCAATAAATCCATCAATCAGATAAATAGAGTTCTTGTCCTCATTTGTTAGACATTATATATTTCTCTTATTGATTATTACTATTGTAGTTTGTAGAAGTTCTTTTGAAGACTTCATTCAGGAGGTGATCCTTGTAGTATTGCTCAAGTTATTAAGGGAATTCAATAACTTGAGAAACTCTAAATTCACGGGAGCTCCTCTGTGTTCAGAGTTTAAAGAACTTCAAATATCACTAGGTGGTATTTCCCTTGATTAACAAACTCTAGAGTAGAGTGTTGTCAGCTTGGGCACGAAACTAGACTGTAGTTTCCACTCTATATTCTGCTAGAAGACCATTGTCTTGCATTAATTCCCGGATTTGTATCCAAAACCCTTTGTTAAAAGGTCACCTAACTGAAGTCAGTGCTGATTTGATCACACTACTTCTTAGCTAACCTTGTTTTGAAACTTAAAATAAGGTTTCCCCGCGCGTAATAAACTTAGTTTATTAATCCATCCTTATCTTTAGTGGTTTACTAGCCCAAAAGACGCTAGTAGCTCACATCTCTTGAAGGCTCTTCGCAATAATCGAAGTTCAGGGCGAACAAGCTCGGCCTCAAGAAAGCGGACATCCCATTGGTCGAGTTTGAGGTTGGCTAAGATCGCATGAATATACTGTGGTGTGCACGTTGCCGACATCAAAAGTAGTGGCACCTTGGCCGACGACAAGAAGCGGCGAGCCAGTTCACCGTACGAGGGCCGAAATACTCCGCCATCCTGGACGCGTGTATGGCTTGCCATCCTTTTCGCTTGCCCACTCGCGACCAGACCCCATTCATAGATCATATGCGCTTCATCCACTACGTTGAGGATTAATCGTTCTTGAAAGCGACGATCTCGCCACATTTTGTCGAAAATTTTGCTGGTCAATGCCACCTCCGGACTCTGAAGTGTTTCATAAGAACATATGCATTTGTTGATCAGCCAAAGTACGGAGACAAATAATAATTTCAATTAAACTCGCCACATAAACAAATGAGTATTTCCCTTCTAAAATCAAATCACAATTCTCTTGCGTGCAGTTGGGACCATTCAGATTGATACCAGCCAGCTCAACCAAACCTTTTTCGATTACCTGCAAGGCATTATCATAGTGGGTCAGCCGTGCATGAGCAAGTCATTACAACGTGAGTATGAAAACTTACTTGATCATCACCAAGAGTGTCTAACGGGTTGATACATAGGATGATGGGGGCGTACTTCGTATGATCGTGAGCTAGATAGAACACCTCAGGGACTCGACTTTTCCCGAAACCAGTGCCCGCTAGTAAATAAACGGTCCGTCCATGTAGAAGGTGCACCGCAGATTCGTTCTGCTCCGATTTTCCTTCGTATCCATAGTTGTTCTGAAACAAATTGTTGATCGACCCTTTTTGGCTGGCTTCGCTAGTATCAACAAATTCAGGTTTCTTCTTGGGTCGCAAGGTAAGTGATCTCGTGGGAGGATGCTGCTGCATCAACCCTTGTTGCGTTTGGCTTTGGCTTCTTCTTAGCATCGTGGGGAATGATAAAGCAGCGGGGGTGCAATGAAGGCAATGTGATTTGGTGACTGATAAAGTAGCGGTGGTGCGATGAAGGCAATGTGATTTGGTGACTTGTTGTTAATTCCGCGTGTGGTGGTGCAAACAGCAGTTTGGACCACTGGATTTGGAGGTTTTGCCCCGAAATCTGTAGTTTTATTCGGCACTTTGGAATTTGGGTCGCCGCAGTCTTGTCTAGACTTGTACGGCCCCGTTGTTGGCCCCAAATGTTTTTTTGGGTTATCTTTGATGTTTTTTGAGATAATGGAAAGCCGAGAGCGGCAAAATGTGCACGGAGATCATGCCTGTTCTTTTTGTTATAAACACCAAAGCACTTGGTTTGTGAGATTTGAGTGCAGTGAGAATGGCAGATTTTGGGAAATAGTACCGGCCGATCTCACGCCAAAAAATCGAGATAGCGCCTAAGTCCCTCGTTTGAGCGGCTCCGGTGCTCAATGTTAGGGTCGAGGGTTTCCAGGGTCCGAGACGCTGTGTTTCAGCATTAGCGTGGCGGCTATCCTCACCAACGCCATGCCGTTATTTCTCTATAAAATGTACTTACAATGTTAGTTCTGTTCCTGTTTGTTAGTTAGTTAGTAATAAACCTATTCGTGTCCCAACAGGTTATGAGCCCTCCGCTTACTCGAGCACAAGAATCAGAAAATCTAGACATTATTGCCTTACTAGTTCCAAATTCATCTTCTTCTTCACCAGATTTGTTAATCCCTCATTCTAAAGGTACTGCAACCTTACTTCGTTCTCGTTAATAGACTCGTTTTTGTGTTCTGTTGTTTTTGTGTCAGTTTGTGACTTTCGTCTTTTCGGTCAATCTTGTGTGATTGACGTCCTCGGATCTTTTTGTTTTACTTGTTGTGACAAGTAGCTAGCTCGATCTTTGAAGAACCCACCATTTCGACTTTTGAAGAACCGATTATGTCGACTTCCGACAAATCTCCGTCTGCCGGAGCAATTTTGCTTTCTAAAGTAATCAAACTTGACCAAGTGAAGACACTTACTCGTGATGGGTCCAATTGGGATGAATGGGACTACGACATCGAACAATTTCTAGTCTTCACACCTGGTGCCAAATCTTATCTCAATCCTGTGATGGTGAAAACGCACAAATCTTACGATGTGGAACAAGCCGATTATGTAGATGGTGTTTTGAGTTGGACAATCGATCGTTCATTAGGATTATCCATACGTCATCTAGAAACCCCAGCGGCAAAATATGCAGCCTTGAAGGCTCAATTCTCCGGTATCTCGTTCGCAGCTAGAGTAGCCAGTCTTCGGCAAATCACCTCGATGAAATTTGATTCAACCACTACAACTATCGACGCACACCTAGCATTAATGAGAGACACTAGTGATAGACTCTCAAGAATTGGTCTATCCATTGGCGATGACACTCTAGCGATATTACAACTGATCAGTATGCCCGACAATTACAAATTTCTTGAACACACTTTTGAATACAAGATCGACTCGAATAAAACTTCTTCTATCTCGTCCGGTGAGATGTCTCGTGCATTGTCAGCAGCTGCTGTTTCTATTGGATCAACTACTGGAGAGTCATCCGTTATGCAGGTAGACATCAAGAAACTCTGTTTCTATTGCAAGGATCCAGGTCATGTTATAGCTGATTGTGAAAAACGGGCCAAGAAGGAACTTCGTGAAAAGGAAAAAGACGAAGCAAAATCCACTCGCAACATTGATCTAGCCTCAGCCCAATTTGCTGAGCTTGATATAGGCTTTACAGGATGATCAGGCCTTGGGGGGTTTTCTCTTAGATTTTTTTTCTTGTGTAACAGTTTTCTATGTTTTCTTTCTTATCATCTTATGTTTCTTTTGTACCCATGTATCATGGCATTGTTGAGGGGGGGGTGTTAGGGTCAAGGGTTTCCAGGGTCCGAGACGCTGTGTTTCAGCATTAGCGTGGCGGCTATCCTCACCAACGCCATGCCGTTATTTCTCTATAAAATGTACTTACAATGTTAGTTCTGTTCCTGTTTGTTAGTTAGTTAGTAATAAACCTATTCGTGTCCCAACACTCAAGAGGGACTTAGTTAAGTTTGGGTACACCCGGTCAACTTTTTGGCTGGAAGGTGTCAAGAGCTGTCACTAGATAAACAAAAGGGGTTCTCAAAGTTGGCCCGGTTTCAAGAAAACCCAGTTGACCCGGTTGCTTTTTGGCAGTAACCTTGTGTATCGAGTTGACATTTTTTGACAGATCACAGCCAAAAAGTCAACTGGGTCAACCGGGTTTTTACAAACCGGGCCTACTTTGAGAACCCCTAAAGTTATCACCAAAAACGCAACTTGGTGTACTGGGTTTTTGTGTCAACCGGGTTTGGTTTGAACACGGCTATTGAACAACTGTCAATCTTGAAAACCATTACAACTCGCTCTTTACCATACGTCATACAATTTCTTCAAAAGATGAATGAAGGATCAAAAACCCGAGAGACTTTCTGGTTTCAACAACCACCACTAAGCCACTTACCTATTGCCCTAAGTTAAAACACGTTCCAACGCACAAGAGATGTCAATGCGAGAGTTGGAGACCGAGGATATCCAAATACATAGCAGGATTGTGCTCGAACGAGTAACTTCCCACTCGCGTCCACCACGCATGCTGTAATTCAATCGGCCGGTTGAGGGCAGCTGTTCTTACTCCCAAATATTCAGACTTGGGTGGTCCAAGGCTTGATGTGTGTTTTGCCGATCTCATACTTTCAAAAACCCTTCTTTACTACAAGTGTGAGCTGGAGAAATCCTTCACCCAAGAAATAAACACAGCTTTCTTGTAGACGTCACAACGATAGTTTTGATCCCTTGATATCATGTTTCAACAAGCATTTCTTGTTCATTTCACAGTTTTGAATATTTTTTGGTTTGTTGCAGGATAATTGCACCTAGTATACCTGGTTCAGAACATTACCCGTTGTTTTCCGTCCCACGAATATCATCATTGCACAAATTATGGTTCATAATACCGTATGATCTCACCGTTTTCCTTCAAGCCAGCTTGAATTCACCGCACATTGGATCCGAATTTTGAGAAACTTTAATCATTTCTCCACCAGTCTATTGGAATAATATTCCATACCGACTTTCTTTATGAGTTGGTGAACATCAGATTTTTATTTTTTAACTTCAATTCCAATTACTTCTCATGCATATCAGAGCTTCAGGGAAACTCGACTTGTTTTTGGTTACTTGCGTATTCTTCATAAACTTCTCCTCCAATGTATTAGCTCTTCCATATCCACATAAGTCTCAACTCGGTACATATTCTGCAACTTCCGAATCTTCAACCCAACTCCAAAAACGCGCAGTCATTGCAACCGCCTATCTGACTTCCGACTTCGTAAAACAGACCCTCGCAAGGAATCGTGAAATCAATACATCTCAAGAGAGGGAAGATCTACGCACGGATCGGGAAATCAACAAATCTGGAGAGAAGGAAAATAACCAAAGAGATACCAAAGTACTGGAGGACGATCTTCGAACAGAATGTGTTCGCGGTATAGATCCCACAACTGGAAGATGCCTATAAAATCCAGTAATTCTTCAAGATCTGATACCACCTGATTTCAATTCTTCAAAATAAAAGTATCTCAACAGGTAAAAAAAGCTTATCAATTATCACCCATACCTTTGATGAGGACAATTCTACTGTGATAGAATTTAACGCTGTAAAAATCAATACTCTAAGGTAGTTTTGGTAAACAAAGCACACATATGTTGTATATACATCAATTTATTCTGATGTAAAATCCATCCTGCTTGTATGTACAACTAAATGCTATGGACAATATTGCTTAATCTTTCAAATTCAAAATTGAAATTGGCGACAGTCAAATCCGACATGTGGATCATGAAACGCCAATTCTGATGCTCAGTTACCACAACCACAGAAATCTCAAGCTTGATGTCAATGTTTGATTTAACGACTGTCCATATTAGATAAATCTTTTGTTGGATGGTCCATATAAACATCTTTACTCAAGAATGAAAATTCTGGATCAGACCCCACTACATTTGAGGTACAAGAAAAGATGACTGCTAGATCTTGTCTGTGGGTGAAAATCTAAATCTTGATAGTCAACCAGTAAATCCGTTGAAAGCTGCCCGTGGAGTCCAGTTTCTGATTTCTCGAGCTCAGAGTTACAGCGGTGGTAGTAGTACGCCCCCAGGTGGTTACAAAATCCAGACTCTACGCCTCAGAGTACGGTCTGAAAGTCTGGACAAGTAAAATGGTAGATCAGAGTGAAAGTTTTTGCTGGACTCTTCAAACATTTCTATGTCTATGTTCAAATGGGTGAATTTGGGCATTGGCCTTACTTCGCCTGCAGGCCCTTTGGTGGAAGCCTTTCACTGATAAAGTGCTATTCATTCCTCTTAAGGACTCTCTAGGCATGAGTGGGCCACACTTCCATTCCTATATGGTGTATTCATTGTTCAAGTTCTTCTCAACATCAAGCGTTGAATTGTAGCTTGAGCTTGACCACAGTGACTGTGTGACAGAACCAAAATATCCCAGTCCCCGAAATTGATGTGCCAGGATGTCACAGAGGTCAGGCATGCGTTACAGGCCCTGTGTTATCTGACCTAGGTTCACTCGACTCGGAAGGATTGAGTTTGAACAGGTTTGAACCTGATGACCATCAATCGTATCTTATCGCTTCTTTCCTATCCTTCGTTTCCTCCGCCTTTCCGGTCACGATTGCCAAATCAAGGTATAGGACCTAGATAATTTGAACTGCATAGCCACAGCGAAGATTAATTCACGATCTTGATGTCATACATAAATCAGGCGCAGGGTCGGAGGTGACTCTGGAAGTTTAGCTGATACTTTTCAATGAAGTTCAGTGATTCAAGTATCACTATCAGGCAAGACATCCGATAAAGACCAATTCTTATACCACAACTTTGAGAAAGTTATAATATGAGTATTTATTATTTTAATCATGCTAAACAATTAGCCATCACATCGGTTTGTTCTTTACCGATCACTACTATTCCAATCAGTTTAAAATCAAAACTTTCAAATCAGAACGATTTCATTGATGGTAAATCACTTTTCGTTGAAATACTTTTGTGTAGATTGGTATCCATTCATGATTATAGCTGACTTTGATTATGTGTCTTTTTGGGTTTCTTCAGTGTTTCCGATCTTGGAGCCTAAGAATTGGAGTTCGATCAATTGTTTAATTTTCTTCAGAATAAACTCCACCATCTCGATTGAAACTTTGCCGACTCATTCAAATCTAATATCAACGTTTTCCAATTTTAATTCAACTTCAAATCTAAAGTTTACAAATCCATCAAAATCAACGTCGACTTATTATGCATTAAAATCACTTTATCCTATCTTAAACGCACCTAATCCTTTTTCAGGTAAAGCTGTTTTATTAGATGGTATCCCGAGCAAGCTTTCACCTCAACATGTCATCCAATCTTTGTCTCATTTTGGTCACTCAATCATTAATCCTCAACCTTGTTACTCATTTCCTTGGCCTGGTTCAATAAATCCCATTCAATCTAAAACTCCCTCAATCACTCGTCATCAAATCATTTATTGTCATTCGAACGCTCTTGCTCATCATCTTGCTGGTCAATTACATCGATCTAGACCGTCTTGGTTACCTTCTTCAACTTCTCATCATCATCAACATCATCATCAATTTTCGAATCAAATAAAACAAGGTGTAATCGGATGGGAATTGAAAGCACGCGTGATCTATTGATGATCAAAATGTATGATGAAGATTTCTTCACAAACAATTACTCATCCATCACAATAGAATCTATGCATTTCGCAAGCAAATCCCAACAAAG